TGACGGCACCAAGGCCGCTCGCTGGTCCCGAGGAGCTGGTGCGGCCAGCGCGGCTGCCCAGGCCAACCTTTGAGGAGGCCTGGCCCCTTCCCTGGGAAACCCGCAGACAACCACCCACCCTGTGGGGCACCCCACCTGCAGGTGGGGAGCAGCACCCGGCCCCTGGGCCTCCTCCCGACCACCTGACCCCAGGGGCAGGACCTGCCAAGGGCAGCAGTGCCTGCCCTGCCCGGGACCCCACCCGGCGCCCCCGCCGGCCAGTACCACGCCGGCTGGAAGGCGGGGCGTCCAGCGAGGACCACAGCTGGGGCTGCTCATGAGCGAAGGCGCCAGAGGCAGCCTCAGGCCATGCACAGAGGTCGGGAAGTGGGGTCCCCCCCAGCGAGGACGACGCGCCCAGGTGAGGAAGGATGCGCTGGCCTCGCAGCCGGTGGGAGGGCGGCTGGGGCCCTCCCGGAAGGCCAGTGGCGGCCAGTCTCGTGTCAGGGGTTCGGCCTGGCGGTGAACTGACAAAGCGAAATGAAAGCAATCCAGGGGACACTGACCACCCCGCAGGGGCCACTGGTGGCCACGGGAGGCGCAGTTGGGCTCAGGTTGCCAAGCCTCTGGCCACTCCACTCCCGTCCGACACTGCCCCACAGCCGGCCGGCCGCGTGGAGGCCGAGCATCTGGACAGCGGGTGTCTGGAGAGCTGTGCCCCGCCGCGCGGGCCTGCAGGCACCAGGACCCCGGGGTCCCCACCCGGGGGTCCCCAGCCCGGCCGGCTCACCGCGAGCTTGGGGGCGGGGTCTTCCAGCAGCCTGGCTGGGGATCCCGGCCGATGTCCTTGGTGTCCCCTCCAGCGGTCAGCAGCGGCCCCACTCACCACTCAGTGCAGGGGGAGGGGCTGGGGCAGCCCACTCCGGGCTGCGCCAGGGCCCGAATCGGGGGGCAGGTGAGTGCAGGCCTGCCTGGGAGGCTGACCCCCGAGAGGCTGACCGTGCAGCCCATCATGGTCTCTGCTGCAGACGGGTGCGGGCTTGGGGCTTACACAGGGCAACACGTGTTGAGTCCAATTTGGTCTGTGATGTTTTTGTATTAACTGGGTGCAGGCCAGAGGTGTGGGGGCGAGCGGTCTCCCCAGGGACAGTGGGGAGCAGGACAGGTGGATCCAGAGATACACTGCTGAAGGGGTGGCAGGGAGACGGGTGGTCCCTGGCCTGAGGGATGCAGGTCGCCCCAGTGACCGCCTGAGGCTGACCCTGACCCTGGCCGGGGAGGCCGGGTCTGAGAGTTCTGATGTCCCGAGTGTCTGCCCACAGTGACAGCTCGGAAAAGTCCGCCCCGAGGGGTGCGCGCTGGGGGCGCCAGGGAGCCCACCTTTGGCAGAGGGACCACTCCAAAAGGGTCAGCCCTGCGTGGGGGGGCCGCGGCCGAGCGCCGGCAGCAGACGCGGCTGCGGTGGGGCGCACTCGACCGTCCAGACAAGCTGCGATTCCTGGACAACCCGAGGGGGGGCAGACGCGCGAGATGCCGAAGACCCGCGGTTCTGCGAGCCCGTGGGGGGCGGGGGGCGCGGCTGCCCGCTCCTCTGAGCGCCCCAGCCAGCGCCGTGGGCCCGCCCTCTACCGTGGGGCGCCTGGGGGGAGCGAGGCCTTGCAGGTGCAGTTAGACGCACCCCACGTCCGCCCGCCCGCCCCCCCGCGACCCCAGGGGAGCCGCACCCCCGAGCCCCCGTGCCCAGCTTCCCAC